TACTGGTTAATATATTTTTGGGTTCAGTTGCTTTCATGTGGCCTAATGTGAGTCTATTTGGGATCATTGGAATGATCAGCAGCATTTCTTGATGTGACTTTATGGCAGTTGCCCAGGGCATCATCGCAAGGAGGATGGCATTCATTTACTTTTGTTTTATTTGGTATTTTTTCAGTCAGTTTTGAAAATAGTGATCAATTTTGATTAATTCACAGCCTATGTTTAATTACATTTAAAATAAATGTTAACAGATGAGATCAAACAAAACAGATGAGAATTGCCCTTAAGCTGTTTAACTTGGACCAAGCATTTTAGGTCACAGATAGATGTAGCTTAGGGTCTCTGTCTATACACCTTATAAGACAATTTAGGTGATGGCATGTTGTTTTTCTGCTATTGAACTGTTTTCTAATAATGTTGTGTTAAATAAAGTGAAGGAAGGAGAGAAATAACGTTTCCCTAGCAGTTTTTAAAAATTTCTCCATGTAATCCGATTAATCGGTTAATCGTGTCGAGACCCCATCCGATTAATCGATTATCCAAATAATCGTTTGTTGCAGCCCTAGCGTGCACAACATGAAATATTGCAGACTAGGGTTGTCACGGTAACCGGTATAGCGGTAAACCCCGGTAAAAAAGTTGACAATAAAAATAACCGTCCAGTTTTTAAAAAACTAAATCATCTCGGTGGGTTTACCGTGGCCGCGGTTTAAGCGCGGTGACCCTTACCAGCCACCGTCGCTTCAGCTGAAGTTCCCGCAGCGCGCACACGCACTTTTTAGTTTGCAACGGCACCAAAACTTTGAAGCTGAAATAATGGCCGAAGGAGGAGACGGCAGCGCCCAGGACATCCATCAGCCCTCAAAGAAGACTAAATCGGAAGTATGGGCATATTTTGGATTTCTGAAAAATGCTGAGGGACAGTTAATAGAAGACTGCTATCCCGTTTGCAGAACGTGCAGGAAACAAGTGTCTGCAGAAGGCAGCAACACTTCGAATCTAATGGCACATCTGCGTGACCATCACCCACGTCTCTACAGCCAGTGCAAGGTAAGATAACATTAGCATTTTAGCTTAAATGCATGACGCGAGGACTTTTGGTTGACGGAGAATGCAACGAGTCGCTATATACTGCAGCTGCAGCGTCCTCTGCCAGCATTTAAACCGTGTCACGGACACCCTGTTGCTGGATGAAGCATCTTATTTGTTGATGATGAAGAGAAATATACAATTAGTTCCTTGTCATTGATTTGTTTACTTATTCAATGCCATTTATACTTGAACGTTTGGATTTGATTACATAGTGTAGTAGTTATTTTAGTAATTTGTTTAAAGTGGCTATTTATTTTAAATACATATTTTTTAAGGTTGACTTGTACAGTGCTCAAGTCAAGTGTGGACTGGAGTTTTAGATTTTCATTTTGATAATGAAGAAAACAAGTATATGAGAAAGCAAGTGGTGTTTCTTTGATTTGTTTACATATTGTTTATGTTTTGAATGTTTGGATTTGTATAATTTAAACCTGCACTGACTACTGTAACATGTTCCAGAAAAATAAGCTATTTGTTCCTTTACTTGTGAAAAGTTGCACTTTTGCTAAGGCTTTGTGTTATTTTAGGTTTAATAAACACTGTTAAACCTTTTCAGTTTGTGTAGAACAGGACTATCAATGCTTTCTGAACATATGCAACACCGTTTAAAAAATACCGCGATAATACCGAAAACCGCGATAATTTTGGTCACAATAACCGTGAGGTTAAATTTTCATACCGTGACAACCCTATTGCAGACCTAGAGTCTAACAGAAGATGGGTGAGAACGGTAATACTCCCAGATGAAGCAGTGAGTCTGTGAAACTAAAAGTAACCTTGACTGAGCTCACCGCTACGAAAGCAGAGCAGCAAGAAGGCTTTGAAGCCATACTGCAGAGAGCGTAGCAGGAATTCAGATGCCCTGCTGAATATCCTCAGAAACCTCGTTCCTTTACACCCCCCATCCACCCAACTGATTCAGTATAAACTGAGGAAAAGAGCAGAAACACTGTTTATCCAGCTGAAGACCAATGAAAAAAGAAAATAGAACAACAAGTGTTGGAAGGTTACCAAAAGGCAGGGGAGGAAAAAAGAAAGAAGGGGAGCGTGTGTGTGATAAAACAAACACGCCTGGTTCAAGTTAGAGAAAACAACAAAGCAACAGTCTGACCTCTGATGCTTTTGGATCAGACCCAAGCCAGCAAAAGCACAACCTGGAGATGGCACCAGTGCTGCTACGATTTTCTCTTTTTCAACGCAAAATACCACCAATCTGAAATTCTGGTCATCAGATCCCTGGATGAGCCAACTATTCTGTCCCTGGACTAATCAACAGCCTGATACAACAAAGATAATCTACTCCGACATAAGAACAATGTCGGGGCTAAACAATTGTTTTACAATGTGGGGAAATGAAGCAGAAATGAGCGTAAGCAAAGTATCAGACAGCTGTACACCTTCACGTCCCCCGAGAGCTTCAGAAGCAGGCTGGTCTGCCTCAAATTACACATCTGCCAGAGAATGAGGGGTGGAGTGGAGACGACTACAATTACATTTTAAATAGAGGGACTCGGATGCTCACCTCATTACAGGGACCTTAGATCTCATCCACAGCAGAACCCCATGAACTCTGCATGATAAGGTTCCCGTCAAACCCACAAATGAGCTCAAAGTTTCTAGAAGAAGCGACGGATGCAAGACTGAAAAACTAAAGCTCTACGCTCAGCTTTTGTTTGTACAAGATTTCCAGACATTGTCTAGATCTGATCCTTATCTCTGGAGTCGTCCTTCCCCAAAGGAATTAAACCAAATGAAATGTTTGCAAAATGCCCTTCACAACCTGGAGGATTGGTGGGGTGTTTTAGGAGTGGGGCAGCTGGGAAGAGCATGCAAGAGATGGGGAAAATATGCAAAACAGATGCGGCGATTAAGAAATAATCTTGTTTTAATGGAAGCCTCGTGGTTTATGCAGGACTCAGACTTTCGTTTGGGCTCTAAAATTTCTTTTAAAACATGTTTTTCTTTGCAGTTGGGTGTCGACATTCTGTCACTTCAGCTAGAAGATAAAAGAACACAAAAGCACCAAGGATCAGTTAGGAACTGTCACCTGGACATTTATCTGGTCTCCACCAGGTCCAGTCAGGTCTGGACAATAGCTTCCTCTGAGTAATGTACCAGCTCTGACGAGCGGATGCGAGAAACTTAGTGATGCTGTTTAAACCAAACGATTTGGGAGTGGAAGGGGAAAAAATACAGTTTAAAAAAAATCACAGCATCACAATCCAGCTCGACTGAAAGACGGGCCTCATTCAAACGCCAGAGCAGAGCAAAGACCAAACACTGGATTTAGATCCACTCAGGTCTATAAAAATAAATCAGTAACGGATCTCCATTTACACGACAAAACGGCTCAGAGGAGTTTCCCCACGACACACCGGAGTGATGCTAAAACAACGTTTTGTCTGAATTTGAAATTAGTCGCAAAACTTTGAAACCGACAAAAGCTAAATTTATTTCTAAATTAATTACATTTTTGTGGCAGACGGAAACGTTTTCCCTCTCGTTCCAGAGAAAAGCAGTCATTAATTCTCTGTATTTATGCCAACAGAAGAAGAGAATGATACAGAGAGGGGGGGGGGGAGAGGGAGAGGGAGAGAGAGAGAGGAGAGAGAGGAGAGAGAGAGGAGAGAGAGAGAGAGAGAGAGAGAGAGAGAGAGAGAGAGAGAGAGAGAGAGAGAGAGAGAGAGAGAGAGAGAGAGAGAACAAACCAGGTTTCGGGAAGGGATGAGCGGTGACAACGGTGGATGGATCCGGTGGGATCAGAGGAAACCCTCAAAGCAGACTCCCAGAGCTGGGATGAAGGCAGCTCAGTGTGGAGGCAGAGGAGATGAAACACCGTTTGGGGGCCCTGCCCCCCCCCCCCCCCCCACCCCACCCCCGACGCCTGCCTCTGTGCTCAGGGGCCTGTGAGCTGCCTCTGAAGTGCTAAACACCCCCCCCCCCCCCCCTCCCCATCCCCCAACACACGCACACACACATTTGGTGTGTTTAAAGCACTCTGCATGGGCAGACATGACAGGATTTAAAAAGGCGTTCTGATTGGTCTACGCTGGAACTAAAAATACCTTTTTATAAATACCTTTTGATAAATTCTCACTAATTTGGGATTTGGCTCGTCTGGAAAATAAAACAAACCCCCAAAAGCAGATGACACATTTATTTTTGCTTTTTGGATGCACCAATTTGTCTAAAAATAATCAAATGTTACACAAAAACTGAAGATCACTCTCTTTTAACACAAATAACATTAATATTTTGATGTTATAAACTTTTGATTAAATAACTTAGTGTGATGTTGGTGACCTTGAGAGTGTGATGTGCTTCTGAAGCGTTTTATAAACAAAACTAATAACCAAAAATAAAACATAAACGAGGTTAAATTTGGGGTCATTTGCTATTCAGCTGCAGCTGAGAATGCGGCTCGTTTTCCACGTGAAAGGCAGTGAATTTTCAGACTATTTACATAAACATTAAGGTGGGATTTCAATTCTTTGTGGATCTTTGTGTTGCATCAAAAATGACGAACTGGTTTAGGTAAGGTGCAAAAATTCACAAGTTAAAAGTCAATGATGTGCTCAGGGATGCGTGCAAACAAACCAAAAGAGGAATCACGTGAGATAACGCAGAGTTTTGTTATTAATGCATCGACTATTTTTAATTTAAAACGTTTATCTGAGGATTAATGAGGTAAAGCACCGAATCCTGCGTCCCTGATGAACGTTTCCAAACTTCAGAGCGCCTCCTGTTTCCTTATCGTTGTTTCTTTACGCTGAAAGTTTTTTCTTATGCAAACATTTTAAAAATTCCTGTTTCCTGGCCTTGTTTGGTGATTTTACACACCTTCCAGCTTCTAAACGGAGCCACCTCCGCTCCAGGTTTCCATAAAACTAAACATTAAATGTTTCTACCTGCATTGTAAAGACTCCCAACTCCTGAGAGGACAGCTTTTTCATCTGATCCGCCAGAATTTGAGCTTCTTCCAGGATGGAAAACTCCGTCTCTGCTCCGCAGTATCCACAGCCAGAGACGGCCAGGCAAAGGAGAACCAAGTACCGGGGGAAAGCCGCCGAGCTCCCGTTAAAACGGAGGTGTTTATCCCGGAGAGCAGAGCCCAAGCCCGGCGGTTTGCACACCGCGCGCCGCGCCATGATGGTCGGAGGTTCACGAGCTGGAGGGGCTGGTGTGCGGGCTGGTGTCGGAACAACACGAACTTCAAAGGAACTTCTTTTACAACTTGGCTGCGTAGAGAGCGCGCGCCCTTCCTCTCCGCTTCGACTCTCCAACATTTCCAGCGACCATCGCAGCGCCCTTAAATCCCAGAGGAAGTGAAGGCAAATCCATGCGGCTTTTGTTTTCGTTCTTCTTTTGTACAAGTTGTCGGCGTTCCCTTCTCGATGCAACTCCTGGAAGTCTGGCAGAGAGTGTGAGAAGCCGGAGATTCACCACAATGAGGGTGAAAGTAAGAGGCGTGGAAACGGCGAGGAGTCCGCCCGGCGCCTGGATCCTCCGATCAATGGATCAGGGTCTGGTGATGCCTTCAGGGCTGCTGGGGAAAAAAGCAATGGGACAAAGGGACCGAGAAGTCATGTTTTTATTATCTAACACGATTTGGTTTTTTTTTTTAAGTTCTCAAGATTTTTTAATTGATATTTTTACATAAATAAAACATCAAGTCCAGGTGGTGATTACCAAGACAAAAACAGTCTTTTCTGCACAACAATACAAATAACAAAATGAATCTAAAACGTTTAAAATTCATGAATTAATGACAGATACAAGAAAACTGATCCAAAAGTGAGACAGGATAATGTTTTTTTTTTTGCAAAATAATTTAATATTGAAACAACCATTAACTGTATACAGGAAGTGTGTTTGGTTTCCGTCTGAATCTGTGTCATTTGTCCAGTGGGACAACTGGAGACATTTTTACTCTTCTTTTTCCAAATGCTAGATGTTTTTAAATCTTTGAATGACTTTAAAATTATTTATACTTGAAAATAACCCAACTATACAGTATTTATATGAGCAAAACAATCTGCTCTACGGGTATTGACATGCAGAATTCTGTGTTAAGATGGAAAATGTGCGTAAACGTTGTTTGATGTACTTACAGATGTATCATTTCAATGGTATAAATGTTATACTGTGTTATAGTCAGCCTAACTTTAGTCATAGAAATGCCAACAATATCTAAATAAAATTGTAACTTTTGAAAAACAGACAAAACCTACACTGTAAAACGTTTATAGGGCTGTTCTTTCCCATCATCACAAAAACATTGAATTTCCCCGCAGAGAGATCTGGTTAAAGAGTCACATCAGTGAATGAATGAACGTCTGTGGTGATTCCTGTGAGAATCCAGTTCTAGTTTTACCTGCAGCTCGAGGAGAGAGGCAAGAATTGGTGAAATCGGAACGTTCAGTGATTTGATTGATGACTAAAAGTAAAGATGAATGAAAGATAGATACACTCATTAAACAATCTAGTTATGGCAGATGATGCAAGGCTTTGAAGTATAACAGCACTCCAGGCCATCAGAGTTTATCTCTGTCTGCCTGACTCCAATTCACCGAACTGCAGAGTGCAATGGACTCACTGTGAGTCTATTGCACTCTGCAAAAAGATGTGACTCACATCTTTTTGCAGCCATTTTAATGTTTCATGTAACGATTTTATTTATTTCTAGTTTACTAACTTTGAACGGATGCATGAATAAATCAGTGTGGCTTTGATTTATGGAGAAGTATTCCATTGAATTCTGTAATCAAGCTCAGAGCACATGTTTTCAAATAAAAGAACAATCTGCAGATTGTTTTTTGATTTCTTTTCACAATAGCAAAAAATGTAATTTAATGTGAAACAATACATGTTGAATGGGAAAAGGGGCATCTAACTACTGCTTCCAGAGATGCACCTATCTTGAATCACAGAACATTTAAAACCTGACCTCTCAAATGGAAATGATCAAAGCTATACTGTATGACATGTTATGCAAATGTCATTTTTTGCCGCCTTCTGTTTTGACATGGGTCTCTGCTGCCTCTACAAACAATCCAAATGTGGAAAAGAAAAGAAAAACATCTGTTTTCTGACAATGTTTGGTTTAAGGAATTATTTACCATTTCAAATACTGTTTGTGACATCACAATCAGGGAAATTAGTAAAGAACCTCCTCTGACCCCTCCAGGCTGGAGGAGCAGCAACTCTACTCAGAGCCCCTCCCAGATAATGGTGCTTCTTAAGCCTGGTTTATGCTTCTCCGTCAGCTCCGCAAGGGACAGACACGCACGGATTGACGGAAGCGTTTTGCTCTCATACTTCTCCGTCTCCTGGAGAGTGTTGCAAAGCAATTGCCCGGCAGGACCACAGAGGGCGTAGTGCTGTTCTGTGGTATCCTGTCATGTATCGGTCCAAGATCGTGTGTTTATATTGTGTTTTTGTCTATATAAGAGACTTTTAACACGGACATATTTGTCTCTCATTCTCCCACCGCTTCATGCGCTCCCCACCTCTAAACCCATGTTTCCTGTCATTTCCGTCCACAAATAAAACGCTTGCTGCGCATCTTTTCACTCCTCCAGTCACGGGAGAATTAAACGTTCATATTTTTAGAGTTTTTTCGCGAGGTATTCTTCAAGCTTCTCCGTGTCTGCTGCTAGTTTTCCTCGGCTCTCTTTGCAATGGCGGCGCTGTAAACAACAGCGGCGTCCTGACCAATCACAAGCTTGCGTAATCCGTCTCGTTCGACGGATGTTTAAAAAAGTGGGCTCGACTCCGTACGTACTTGCGTGCCCTACGCAAGGACGGATAATGGCGTTGCGTGTCTCCGCACTGACGCAGACGGAGAAGCATAAATCAGGCTTAAGTCTGAGTGGGCAATGGGTGGGCGTGGCCAACTCCACCTTGTTTAATTAAAGTGACAGCACCCTGAAACGGTTCAATTTGGAGGGTGCTGAAACTGTCATGAATAAAACTGCTCAAATAAGGTTTATGTGGGAGGGATTTTGTGCAACGAACTTCTTAAACATGTTTGTATGGACCATAGACCTATTATAACAAGAAGAAAGTAATAACGTATCCCCTTTGAAGCCTTTTTGGGCAAGAATGAGCCCATACTTGATTAAAATATTACAGTTGGCACTATGAAGACATCATTTGTTCTGAAGCATAACAATTATTTTCTTGAGAAATTATATAAATCCAGAAATAAAATGCTTAGATTCATTAAAACCTCACCTCCACCTGTGTGAATTTCACGCATTTGCCTACTAGCCTCTCGGCGAAAGTGGGCGTTAGTGTTTATAGTTGATGGGAGGAACAGAGCATAATCAAATGCTCAGAGAGAAGAACGCATGCATAAGTTTTTGATGAGAAAATAACAATATAACATGGTCAAAAGCTCCAAAAAGTACACTTTGCATTACATGGTTCCTTTGAGCAAGTAAATAATCCATCCTTCCTTTTTGTATTTCCATGTCTGCATGTTCATCCATCCATTTAACTTCCTCTAATCTGAGGTGGGGTCCAGAGGGGCCACCCTGGTGGGAAGCCTGGGCATCCACCTCAGGATGATTTACCTTCTCCTGGAGGATCCCAAAGCATCCCCTGACCAGAGAGGATGGTGCAACTGGTAGCACCAATGCCTTGCAGCAAGGAAGTAGCCGGTTTGAATCCCGGCTGCAGCCTTTCTGTGTGGACTTTGCATGTTCTCTCCATGCATGTGTTCTTAGCTTACTCTGGGTTCCTCTCACAGATCAATAAGATGCACATCATAGGTTAACTTTTAAACTGCTTTGAAAACACTTCGGTAAAACACATAAACATTCACTAACCACCTGAAGGGAGTATTCCACCTTTAATGGTTGAGAACCATCACATCAGATGCTTATTCACCAATGATTTTGATTTTAAGCCTGCTGTAAGACGGTGAAAGTTCAGGTTTGTTTGAGAGATAAAATTAAATCTTTGAAAGCATCAGAACAACCTTTTGACGCTCACGTGGACAAGGAAATTAAAGTATGCTCTCAGGAATCAGAATGTGCAAAGACTAAGGAGAAAATCAAAACGGAGAGGATTTGAAAAGAAAAGAGAAGGAAGATGGACGAGACGGTGCAGAAAAACGACAGTGGGTGACGCAAAAGAGGGAAATATATATAAAAAAAGGAGTGTTCCATTTTTGGCTTTGGTGCAGTCAGTTGTGTTTAGTCACAGTTTTGATCACAGTAAAAAACAGACAAACCTCTTCAAGCCTTCACAGTGGAGCCAAAATAACCTTAATTAATTTTAATGCCAGTCAAGTCAAAGCACATTTTTAGCTTACGAAAAAGCCGAGCCAACCTCCCACTGTCACATAAACTACAGCAAAACCTTTTCCTGAAAACATGGATGTGATCACACTTTCTAAATATTTTATAGTTTTCTGTTTTTATGCTCTGGTGACTTGATGCTTTGATCTGACCCTAACCTCACCCATGGAGGCTGTGGTGCATCTGTGTCAACAGCTGCAGATGTTTGCATGGTCTTCAGATGCATTTGAAAACTTGACATGATAATATTTTATTCTATAGAAAAAAATTCTTATCAAACTAGCTGATTCAGCAGAAAGTAACCCATAGATCATTTTAAAGGGGACATATTATGCTGACCTCACCTTTTGCTTCCTTTTGGGGTGTCATGTGGGTCTCCGTTGCCTCTATAAACACTCCAAACGTCAAATAAAATAAGTCCGTCTGTTTTCTTTCACTGCTTGGTTTTATGAGTTATGTGTCTAAAACATGTCAATTCAAAAAGTCTCAGTTTGTGATGTCACAAACGGGGAAAGTAGAATAGAACCACATGCAAGAGAAAGCTGCTGGTGCAGGAGCAGCAGCCTGTCAAATATCAGAGCTTGTCAGCTTACAGCAGCTTTAGTGAGCGATGGGTGGGCATGGCCAGCTCCAGCTTGTTTTTGTAAAAGGGTGTAACGGAACGAATGACTCTTATTTTTCCCCTTCTTTGCTCAGAACTAGTCTGCATGAGAGATGGTCTCAAGGTCTCATGCATTCCTTCTAACCTGCTTATTTTCAGCTCAACAGAAGAACGAAGAATGAACTCTTTTCTTTTAATTAACCAAAGAACTCTATTTTGATAAAGCTAATCCATCAAAGTGTTAGTCAATATAATAAGATGTGACCGACCTGTGAAATCAAAATATTAATTACTTTATTATGATCCTATAGAAATAATAAGTACTGTGACTTTGAGTGTTCCAACAGGACTCATTTCACGTAGTGTTAAAAAGACATAACACATTACTTTCACTGATCCAATCAGAATCTTACAGATCTGACGGAGGCGTGTTTCTGACGGTGTTTAGTCATTTTCGTTGGACAATAAACCATAGCATCCGAGGTATAAAACAATGCCACGTCAGCTCTAATGCCAGTTCAAAGCGTTCCAGAGAAGGTGACGGAGTGGCCAATCCTGATCTACAATCTTTAAAGAGCAAGTCGC